ATGGTGGCCGTGATTTGATCAGATGTTTTTGCTGCTTTTCTTTCAAACTCATCTGCCAGATAAAGCTAAAAGTTAAAGAGCAGATCCTACAGAGCGGTCACAGCCTGTCCTCTTATTGCCAGACTGGACATTTGGACTGAAATGCATTTGGAGGGACTTCATGCTCTGCTGGAATGGAGTTGAAGCGGGGGATTTCGGATGGTCTGCGGCGGTGATTAGCAGCGCAGTCTGCACCAATATGCATCGGATTCTGCAGAGGAGACGAGTACGCAGGCTGCGGGTCGTCTGGGCTTCTCTGGCCCTGGTGGCTCTGTCTCTGGCCGCATGCAGCGCGCTGTTTACGGCGTGGACTTTGCGACAGACGCGGGACCTGTCTCAGTCCTTCAAGATCCTGCAGGACCGACTCGAGCAGGTTTGTGTCATACTTTAGAAAAAGACCTTAATAATTCGAGCGTGCAGACAGCCCCTCTCTGTTTTTGCACCAACAATAATATTTACTCTCCTGCAACTTTTTTTTTTTTGAAAGACCATCAAGTGTTTCTTATGTAACTTCTTTTGTGGCTGCGGTTACGGGAATCTTGGCTGGGGGCATATGGACAAATCCACACTTCACCCTCCCCCTATTCTCTCGCCCCTCGCACGTAGACTACTTATTCTCTCGCACCATTTCTCTGCTTGGCACTTTTATTACTCGCCAATAAGCGCAGTCAAATTGTGCCGAGTTGTTGCTTATTTTTGTGTCCGCCTCCCCCTGTTAACCACCTCCACCCCCATTCTCCCCGGGTGGGGGATCATGATTAATTACTCTGGTGCCAGTTGTGCTCCTTTTTTTTTAATCTAATTTTACTGGAAAGCCTCAGCTATTTGGCGTATGCCCGCTCACCCCACTGCCTCGAGTCTGCCGGGGACTCGAGGCGTGAAACGGGCTGCACGATAAAGCGTGGCAAGTGTAAATCATTTTCAGCCCGCACAAGCAAACGCTTCTAAATCTCCTGCAAAGTGCAGCTTTCCTAAACTTTTTTCCACTCTCCTTCTTTTTCTGTTTTGCACTTGCAGCAAATATCCGACACTAGATTGCATCACAAGACAAATAAATTTCCTAAAGGAGCCAGAATGGAAATTCTTCTTGTTTTTTTTCTGTTTTTGAGTTCAGTGTATTTCACAAAACCAGATTGCAATGGATTTTATATCAGGAGAAAGAGAAGGGGGGGGGCAAGAAACCTGCACATAACACAAATACCCCCCAAAACTGGACACGTGGAGTGTTGCTGGAGCCCTCCCCAAGGGGGCCCCTGTTCTGTCCATTTGACCGTTAGCCAACTTCTGATGAGAGCCCAGTGAGTGAACGTCTGGAGGGTGCACTGCAGCTCTCTCGGCCTGCTTTTCCACAGTAGCAGTAAATTTAAACATACTTCTTCCCCCCTCCTCTGGAGCAGCTTCTCCTCTTACTCGATTTAGGCCTCCTTCGGTCACCCAGTGGAGTCTCCCCCCCCAGCCACCTTCCAGTTGAGGGTTTAAATCCTGTCTGGCTTGACAAAATCAATTTCTTTCTTGCGGAAAAAAAATGACATGTGAAGAATTCGAAGTGCTGAAAACATGCATTAGGTGTCGCAACCAGTCGCTGAGGAAGTGGTAGATTTACAGCTAGAATGGCAGCAAAGGGGGCAGGATACTGCCAGAGACCAGTCTGCTGCTTATGTGGCTGGCAGGAAATAAAGGCTGTCTGTGGCCGTGAGTGGGTTCTGTGCCAGAAAAAAAAAGTTATGAGAAAAATAACTGGCCGTTTGTTAATAGCTTGGTTTTTTTCTGTGTGTTTCAACAGGTCAACAAACAGAGGAAGGCCATTGTTCAGCTGATCCTGGAGAAGAGAGAGCTGCTGGTGGGGCATCGAGTGAAGAGAGATGGTACTAGTGCTGTGATATACTGCTAATTTGGTATCGATCCCATACCAAGTAAATTCATGGCCAGTGTTTCAGCAATACTTTTAACCTCTAAAGGCAGCTTATGTAGCAGATTTATGAGATGAATCATCAATTTGCTAATTCCTAACACATTTAAATGGTTAGTGATGAGTAGTTACTAAGAGAAAACACACCTTTCATCTTTTCATGTATTTTGAAAGTGATTTTTTGAGGACCTGGAGTCTAAATGTGTCCATCTCTAAAGCACATTAACTTCTGTTGTTTAAATGTGCTGAGGTCTGTAAATAAAACAGACGTTAGGCCATTTTTCACAGTAGATGTTTGATATTTTTCCTTTTCCAATAAAATAATTTAACACAATTCAGTTGGCTACACACTGAACTTAGTAGGACATTAATGCGATCCTATCCCGCCAATACCAGCATTTGTATCGATACTATCGATATTTGGCCCAATCCGCCCAAATCTAGATGGTACTGCGTCTCGAAAGCCTGCCAAAGCCTGACATTTTTCTTGCACTGCAGCACCACCGGCATGTATAAGACGTCCTGTCCTTTCAGCTCTCCAAATTGCCACAGACACAGTCTCCTTACCAACTGTTGTTTTTTTAGGAAGAACATTTAACGCAGAGCGCTGGCCAGTCTTGGCCCCACATGCCACTTTGGTCAGGTCTCGCGGGCCGCAGGCACTACCCGCTGCTAAAAGTTGACACAGGAAAAAGTAGGCAGCTGGAAGACTGTTTCAGAAATTACAGGTCTGACCAGAGCGGCCTCGAGTCCCAGAAAAAAAGCAGCTGGCGCGGGCGCTGGGGGCCTTGTTGCACGCTTTCGGGCAATGAAATTGATTTTTTTCCCCACCGCCAGAACACACGACTGACACAGCTATGATTTGTTGTGAAAGCGGTGATATTTGATGACCTATCATTGCTGTATTTATAGCCTCTGCTTGCGTCACCATCACGGGACTGCTTGATTGTCCACGTTTTGCCCGAGAGTGAACCCACACGAGGGCTTTTTAAAGGGGATTAGAGTCTAGATTTCACCAGTGTATCTGTATTGATATCCTCTAAGTGCTAGCTTATTGGTTTTAGCAACTAATATCTCATTAAACTGTCAGAAACTCATGGCTGTCAATGGAAAAAAAGAAGAAAAACGAGGGAATAAGAAGAGCAAACAGCTTTTTCCAGTCTTGCCTTTCAGCAGGACACTGCTGTTATGTTCTCCTCTGAAAAGACCGACAGCTTAAGTCGAGAAAATCTGGCCAGCCTGAGGGCTTTACGCTCGGCCATAGCAAATCCAAAGTCCACAGGGTCACCCACATGTGAGTTATTTTCACAGGGGCTCAATATTCCCGAATGATGACCGTTGGGGGCGTTTGGCCCGTCTCATCCTGAAACATAAAGTGTGTAATTCACAGTTCATACACAGAGTTGTATCAGTGTTTGAAATCGGCTGGATTGTAAGGCAAAAAAACCCTAAAAAAACTTTTAGTGGGGAATAAGAGCAGGCGGTCATCAGTGCTGTGCTTTATTTATTGCAGCTATCTGAGCTTGTTCTTGGATGAAGCTGGCTGTTGCTTCACTCTGTCTTGCTGCAGCCAAAGACCCTCTTTGACTCTCCTGTTCCTGCACTTCATTTTTCTTGCTTAGCCTTTTAGTTCTTCAGCTTTGCCTTTTAATGCCTGTCCTTTTCTGCTTTATCAGTCACTTTCCCCCTGTCCATCTTAGGGGTTTTATTGGTTTTCTAATTTTTTTTTTACCCTTCCTTCCAATCAGATCTCTCCAGCCTCCTTCCTTCCATCCAATCTCTGTATTCAGTATTTTCTACATGACTGCGACCAACTGGCTCCAAGATTAGCTGCTAAACGTGTGTGTGCGTGTGGTGGTGAGGAGGCACGCGCTTCTGACCGAAAATAATAGTTTGAGGAAATATTATTGAAGCACGTGAAAGGAAATCCTTTACCCATCTGCTAACCCTGTTAGAGCCAGCCAGGTCTGGATCTGAATGGCACCAAATTAACGCTTCATGTTATTAGACAGATAGAGATGGGGATGATTGCTTTGTCCAAATAAATTGTTCAAGAAAAAAACCTCCACAGACGTCATTTTTATGTGCATTCAGTCTCCTTTCCTGCCTCCCTTTTACAGAGAGGACGTCGAAAGCAGGGAGGAGTGGAAATGGAAGGAAAGCGGCGTCTCATTTTGAGAGTAAGTGGCTTGGCAGATCTCTCGTAGCTGTCTCGTGTAGCATCTGCTGAAGTGTTTTCAATCATATACCCCTATACGATTGCACTCATAAAATCTTAATTGACTTTCCCTTTTCCTTTTCTTTCAACATCGCTTTTGCTTTCCGTCAGTAACCAAAGTCTCCTCTCAGCAAGGTAAGAGTCGTAAAAGTGAAGGACAGAGGTTGATCTTTGAATCTTTTGTCTCTGAGAGGAATGACCTGGGATGTGTGTGCGTGTGTCTAACAGTGGGAGAAGGTGGGGTGATCAAGGGCTGGGAAGAGAGGACGCTGAATATGAGTAAAGCGGTGAGGTACAACAAGGAGCAGGGCACCTTCACCGTGGAGAAAGCAGGCGTCTACTTCCTGTTTTGCCAGGTGAGTTTCTGCTGGGAGCGATAGTTTATTTTGAGCTGCAAACTCTGCATACAAGGTGTGGCTATTAAACAAGGAGTCTGGGCTTATCTAAGCTAACCCAGCATTAGTCTGGGACTGTCTGGCAGCCGCACCTCTACCTTAAAGCTGAACCAGTCACAACTTTTCCATTAATAATGCCTCAAATGAATGTGGGCAGTATTAAAGGCAGCTCAGTGGTGTGCTTTGAACCCAGACAGAGCGCCTCTGAGTGGAGTTAGCATGTTTTCTCTTTACACAAAAGAAAAAAACACCAGGTTAGTCCTGCCTGTTTGTGTGTGATAAACTGTACAAAATCAAAATGGTTCCCAGTTGGCAGCTAGCTGATGTACACAGTGATATGCAAGCAAAGATGGAGTAAAGATCCAGATATTTCCCTCAGGTTCTGGTGAACTGTAAATAAAAGATGCCCACATCTTTTTTTTTTTCTTTTTTTTTTTTAAAGTTCAATTTTCCATCAGTGTTAATTTCATTGTCAAGTAATTTCTCTCAACGACCTTTTTCATTGAGAGAAATAATTTTACTGATGCTTACGTCTGCGAATAGGAACGAGATGAAAATATTCTGGAGAGATGAGATCCAAAGACAAATAATTAAGTTGTAGAAAGGCAGAACGTGTTTGGCAGCGATCCAGTGGTTAGATGCTAACAATCGATCAGCCCTCGGGCAACGGTACAGCTTTTTTTTGGAAACAGAACTCAGAAATCTCCCTGTTTCTTATTAAAATGTGACAAAATGTTAGTGCTTTGGACAAAGACAAGAGCAGACATATGGACACATTTGATGTCAATAAAAGTAGGACACCAAACTACGCCACACTTTTACGCTTCATATTTTAATCAACTGAATCACCTTTAGATTTAATATTTATTATAATTTTATGAGATTTATTCGATTAAAACTGACTATGACTTTAGACTTATGACTAGAATTAAATCAAAATTTGCACTGGTTGCTGAAGAACATAATTGGACTGGAGCTGATCCGCTTGCGCTAGCTAGCTTAGTTAGCATACCTTGCTAACTAAGCTAGCTATCTAGCTGTTCACTTTTAATATAAACCCTTCAAAGAAAATTTGGTTGCACAGTATTAATGTCCTCTGCTTAAGGTTTTAAAATTCATAATGCTACTGTAAAACAATATTTTTGCAGTAATGTTACAAAACAAAAATCACTGGCTAATGAATTATAGCTCACAAGTTGTTAGTCAGCAAGCACACCTTGGCTAATCCTCCTTTCTGGAACTTGGTATGACAAATGTTTACTTAAGTTTTTAATTCAAATGAGTGACTAAGTCCATAAACTCAACAGGAAAGTGTTTAAAGAGGTCAAGAAAGAGACATTTTCCCTTAAATGTATATAGGATTAGAATTATTTTTGTACCTGTATCGCCCCCTGGTGACTATTAAAAAGAACACAAGCTAAGTTACTTCTACATTGGCTTCACTCTTTAAACCCTGAGGCTTTGTACTGTTTACAGTTACACATTAACCAGTATGTAATGCAGCAAACAAAGTCGACATTGTGTAATGTATTTTTAGGGAATTCAGTTTTCGCTGACAGTGAATTATTTCCTGGAACGGGCAGCTCTGTTGAATTCCTTTTATGACAAAATGATTAAGAAACCCATATTCACAGTAAGAGGAGTACACTCTTACAGGAAACAAATCAAAAAAATCAAAGTCTTTGTCATCTGCTGGTGACTGATGACATAAATTCATCTTTTTTTTAACTTTTTTTTTTACAAAGTCATATAATGAAGTAATTCATTATATGACTTCCCTTTAACCTGACTTCCTCTGAAACAACATACTGTGTCATACTTTGTGTTTGCAATGGGCACATCCATCTTTTATATACAGTCTATGGAAAAGACCAAAACAGAGTCAAAATGAAAATGTTTTGTCCCAAAGGTATAAATGCAGCTTTAAAGTTGATTAGGTATCTTTATATTATTTCACAAAATTCCATATTTTTATCCTGCCAACTTAATTTCAAAAAACAATTTCAATTTCAATGGTTGGGTAATAATTTAAAGTGAAATTAAAGTAAACTGAAACGGGTTCATGGGATGGTTAAGACAAAGTTCAAACACTGACGATTCTGAGAAAGATGAATCCAGCTGAAAACATCTTAAATAAAACAGAGATCCAGGTTAAAGCATCACACCTATAAAAATACATTTCTTACTTTTAGTCTGGTGAATTAGGCTCCAGCCCCCCTGTGACTCTGAATTGGATAGGTGGAAGAAAATGCATGGATGGTTGGATAGTAGGGTGAATTAAAAAAGTCTGCATGCAAAGCTAGAAGCAAGCTTTATTTAGCTCGAGCAGTCATAGTGTAGATGTATGAATCATGTTTTTGGAGAGCTGGGTATCAGGTTTTGGGTAATCTCAAGTATCCAGGCCTTCCTCCTTGTCAGGCTGACAGAAGTCTGGAGAAAATCTAAGCAAAAGGAAAAAAAAAAAGAGAAAGAAAAAGTCATGAAATCCCGAGACAGTGTGCTTGGGTTTCACATGAATACTCCAGAAACAAGTTCTCCCTCTGCTGACCTGTTCATGAGAGATCATCTTCTCTGTCCATTCAGGTGTTGTTCAACGAGCAGCAGTCTCAGTACGTGAAGCTGGACGTGGTGACCCTTGGCTTGAGGGCTCAGAAGCTGCAATGCATGGAAGGCTACGGGACAACCCCCTCTGCCGGGCCGCACCCTTTCCACTTCCTGAAGCCCTGCCAGGTGTCCGGCCTCCTGCGACTGGACAAAGGCACGGAGCTGCAGGCCATTACGGGCCCGTCCTTCAGACTCCACAGCGTAGGCAATCCCTCCGCCTCGCCTCACGTCTTTAGCATCTTTAAAGTTAACTGAAGCGCACTGTGGAAACTTTTTGTTTGTTTTTGTTTGTTTGTTTTAACGAGTAAACAGACTCATCAGAGAACTAACTTGTTTTTGTGCGGACAAGATTGTTTTATAAATGGTGAAGCTGTCATAAGCGGTCGAGGCATCGCTTAATGCTACGGCTTCTTCCCAAAGACGTTAATTTGAAAGACAAACCCTGACATTTGGGGAAGCTGTTGTGGATTTTTTTTCCCTCTGGACTGCAGAGCTGTTTTGGAACGCAGATTTTTGGAATAAAACCAAGGCCCGCTGTGAATGTCTGCCGAGGGAACAGATGTGATGGGAGCTGTTCTGTAGATAAAGGGCTTCATATAAAAAAGAAGAAGCAGAAGAAAACTCCTTGGATGTTCATCTTAGCCTGTGTATTACGCTATAAATTGTGCTTAAACTCTTTATAAGACTATGAGTAAAGCTGTGCATGCACCTTCCACTTCCACAGCTGAGAGCACATCTGCAAGCGGCCTACACGAGTTGTCATATATTTTATACAATGTAGCGTCAGTGTGTATGAAATCTTACAAATCAATTTTGTTTCTGTTTATACTGATTTTATAATATCAATGCAAACACTTTCTTTAAATACTTTGGATATATTTTACACACATTTTACATTTTATCAAGGAGATGGTTTGGGCGGTGTTTTAAATGCCATGGATGTGAATTTGCTATCTTTTTGTAAGGTTAAAATGATTGTTTGTATACTTTGTTGTGCAAGTTATACCGAGCGAAGCATAGAGCTTTAAATATAGCTTGTCCTTACTCCCTCTTCTTCACCTGATTGATGACCATTTTTCAAGAAATAATCTGATAAAACTGTTAATTATTCAGCCAAAATACAGATAAAGCTGTATTATAAATGAAGTTAATACATTTTCCTTTTTTTTTCATCACGTTGGCAAAGTATAGATGCTTATGTAAGTTATTCACAAAGAACTAACAGAAAGAACATCACAAAAATGAAATGCACTGCCATGAAATTGGTACACGCTTTCATTCACCCCTGAGCGAATTCATATAAAAACAGCCGTTTCCTGTCAGCCTCAGCTGGATGTTTTTGTTTTGCAGTCATCGTTGTGGCTGATGATGGGTCTTTAATGGTCGACTGCGCATGTAGGCACGATCGGTTCACGTACAGCAAACTCTGTGTTATCTTATTTGGCAGAAATCTATGCATTTTCTGTTCTTTGTGACCATTTGAAAAGCTTTCATTAATCCAATTCAGGGTCACAGCAGTGCTGGAGCCAATCCCAGTTGCCATAGGGCGAGGGGTGAGATAAGTGGCCCCGAAAAAACTAACAAAGAAACTGTATATGCGTGACTAAAACCCAAATTTTCAACAGATAATCTTATTAGTGATTTCCTTTAAATCTGACTGAAACCTCTTAGAAGGAGATCCAAATACTTTCATGCCTGAGAAATCCTCTGTCATGGATATTCACACCTCTCAAATGAACCTGCTCATGTTAGTAAAACATTTTCTACTTTTATTGAAGATGCTACCCTACACCTGAACACATGGAGCTTCACAAAGTCATCTCCAAGTTACAAAATAGATTATTAAACCCTTCTGCTAATCAGCCCTCTAAATGCGGTAAACAGTGTGCAACATTAGCACTGCTGATTGCAGACCAGTGACGTCCAACCAGAGATTCTTGTACACCAGGATATAACTCTGCAGTTTCAGAGAGGTAACAGAAAGCCATTTTCTTACCAAGTGTGGCATTGTAGGAGCGCTGTGAGAGGACGTGCACACCTTCGACACCTCTCTCTACACAGAAAAGCCCCCTGCACAGTCTGATATCCTCGTGTCAGTGTTGTTCCTACATCATCATCATAACGCTGGCCCAGGATCAGCATTGCACCCAACCAGTGACGTTGTCTGAGTTAGTTAGCATTCAGTTAGCATTAGCCAAAAAGTTAGCTAAGTTAGCAAACCAAGATAAATAAACTAAATTTGGCTAACAGCAAAACTAACCCGATAATATGTTTGTTATATTTCATAAATGAACAAAGGAAACACTTGAAATGCTGACCATTTGTTTTAGAAGAGAGGTTTATTTTAACAAAGGTATGGTTTGACTTTTTTCTCCATATTTTAAAGTTATGCGATCACAACAACGTGCTTCGTCAGTTGCAATTTTGATACTGGACTGACATCATTATGATAATGCAGTGAGAACACTAACACAGGGATATCCGACACGCCAGCCTCCTGGCAGATTCAAACCCAGACGCTTCTTGTTGTAAGGTAACAGTGCTAACCTTTGCACCACCATGCAAGCCCTAACTAACCTACTACATAAGTTAAATGCTAATAGGTTCAAAAAGTTAGCTGGTACTGAAATGAAGAGCCAATGAAAGTTTATATCAAAAGGAAAGAAGCATCGGGACAAAGTTAAAACATGAAAGAGCAGCGATGAGGCTGCTGCTAAGGGCTAAGCTAAAGGACCCACGACAGCAAAAATATGAACAAAAGCAACCACATATGTTACTTCACATTTATCATTTTTGTATTTTAACCAAGTAAATGGTTTAAAACAGATACCTAAAAGTAAGAAATAGTGAACTGAAAGTTATGGATTAACAGTAGAGGGAAAATACCAATGGGCTATATTGTGAGTGATAAACAGCTAAAATTAAGTATAAATTAAGAAAAGGAAATTAATGTCATTTGTCCATTTATGCAATGGATAAATGACTTCATCACCCACAGTATGCGTTAATATTGTAGTATCAGGGTCAGAATTTAACAAACTGGCCCTAAAAATGGACCCTTTATTGTATAAAATTATTTATAACAAAGGCAACCAGTGAAAGGGTTACCAGAGCTCATCTGGGCACTGTGGGTATGCATGGGTCTGACAAAAACGACTGAGAGTCATTGCTGTAGTCTGTCCTTTTACCCTTTTGTGGCTTCATTTTTATTACAGTGAATTTATAAAAGCCAGATATTAAATCAGTTGTGTGACACCAAAAGCAGAACTCTGCAGAAACATGGAAAAGATCCAACATCAATTTTCAAGGGAGTCGTTCCAGGTTAACCTCGGAAAAAAAGAAAAAAAAAAGAGAGTTCTGGTTATTTGGTGTCTGACTGCAAAAGAGAGGTGAATGGTGTCAAACTGAAAGTTACATTTAAGAGTTCAGTTTAATATCTAAAAGCTTTTAGTATTGGGTTTGTTTTACTTTTATATCCTTCTGGAAATATAACTCCTTCCATTCTCTCATACGCTGCTGGTTTCCGTAATATTCCTTGCTACAATGCAAACAGTGTGTATTTCTAGCCGTGGGTTTCTGCACTCCCACTCTTGTTTATAAGTAGTTTTTGTGGATGGACCACATTGGTTTCTCCTCAGCACTTTACTGCAGCGATCGCAGCGTTTTTAATTGGAACCAAACATTTATGTTTTCAAATGGAAAAAAACGTCCGATTCTGCAGTGCAGACGATATATCCTGTTTGATTTCCTCATCATTTTCCTCTTTCCTCTTTATGTCTCAGTCATCCCCCCCTCCACATCCCTGTGCACCTCATACTTCCCTGTCAGCACCAATCAGACTACACACACACACCAACAACCCTCTAAATTTTCACTTCCTGAATCTGAACCTGAACCACATAGCTTAAAGTCTTTTGAGGAAAAACATGCCTCATCCCACCCCCGCCACCACAAACACACACACAACACACACATGAACACTTCCCTGCCCCAATTCCTTTTTCTCTAAATGTCAAAGTTTATTGCCATCTCGGAAAATTCTGTAATGTTGTGAAGACGTTCTCTGTAAAATGATGATGTATGCATTGACTAAACATTGTTAAGTTTCCACTTTGTTCACACTTTGAAATAAACCTTCCTTACTGTTTTTGAAACGCTCAATTTCTTTTAAGAAAGACACTCAAAAATAGGTTAATGGGAAGCATAAAACAGCTAACAAAGCATAAGCCAATTTAGAACCATTATCCTGCTCAGCCTTGAATATTGGAGAGGAGAATGACTCCATACATGATGGAAAATGGATATGTGAACACCTTGATCCAAAAGATAGGCATTCCATGCTTCACGGGATGCCTGGAACACAGAGGAGTCCTAGGCCAGATGACACACAAATCCAGGTCAAAGAAAAGCAATCTGACAGTAGTCTGGCTGGACTTTGTAGACATTCCTCACAATCTCGTCAGAATAGCCATAAAGTATTACCACGTCCCAGACCGCATCAAGGGAATGATCTGTAGCTACCTGCGAGGGATCAAGCTCCGCTTCAAGACCACAAACTGCATCACCCAGTGGCAGCACCACGAGAAAACGATTGTCACTGGTTGTGCAGTCTCCCCCAGCCTATCATCCTGTTATGAACCTCATGAAAAATGTAACCAGAGACTCGGCGAAGAACTGAAGCATCTGATAACCAGCGATAAAGGACTTCGTGGATGACCTTATAATCACAACATCTTCCCATGTGCAGGCAAAATTGGTCCTAACCAAGCTTGATGAGGTGGCAACACAGACTACGATGACTAAGGGACAGCAGCAGCATCCACAATACTGAAGAGAAAGCATAGGGGTGGTTGAAGACTACTGATAAATCTGGGCTCCTGGGGAAGTTTCAGACATGGCTGTATCAACAACGCTTGCTTCCAAGGTTGATGTGGTTTCTGATAGTGTATAAAGTCCAGCTTACAGCAGTGGAAGGAGTGGAACGAAAGATCATTGAGCACCTAAGAAGCTGGCTCCAAGTTTTACTCCAGTCGGGCTCTACATCTG